CTCATCTGCTATTCGGTGGTCAATCCGTCCTCTTTCGAGAACGTTAGGATCAAATGGTTTCCCGAAGTGAGACACCACTGTCCGGACAAACCCATTATACTCGTGGGCACTAAACTGGATCTGCGAGAAGATCCCAAGACGCTGGACAAGTTGAAGGAGCGCAAAATGGCGCCAATCACTTACCCTCAGGGCCTGGCGATGGCCAAAGACATCGGCGCTGTTAAATACCTCGAGTGCTCAGCGCTTACCCTAAAGGGCCTGAAGAATGTGTTCGATGAGGCCATCCGTGCCTTCCTGTGCCCTCAGGTGAAGCCCAAGAAAAAGAAGCCTGGTTGTTCATTAATTTGAACCTGTTAACTTTTATCTACAATATATTTAATTATTCTACAATATAAATAATAAATCTATGCCTTAATGTGTTATACGAATTGATAAATAGCTTTTTAACTAACATTTGATTAGCATTTTATAATCTAATTGACGCCAGGAATCAAAACATATCATTTGGTATTTAAAAGTATAGTTTAATTAATAATTATTAACCCATTATTTCAATTATTGTGCAAATCTGTTATAACTGTTTGTGAATGTGATATACATTTTTGAAAAATTACTGTCATTTTGATGTTTAAATATTTTAATTAAAAGTTATAATTCAATTACAAAAGTGAATAGAAAGTGGTTGTAATTGACATTTCTCTATTAAGAGACACAACTATGTAAATCCTGTATCAAATCAATACGTGTCTAATCAGCCCTTAAGGTGTATTCATTGCCATAATATACCGGCAATGTAATAACATAACATAACTCGTTAGATAATTATATATAAATATGAGAATATATGGCATGTATGACATCTAATGTATGCCTAAAACGTTGGTAACGGTCATAATGTGTTATTCATTCGTTTTTTGAATATATGAACTTTATCAAAAGTTTATTATGATATTTGTCGCGAGTTTTATTAATAATATTAATTTTTGCGCTAACTTTCAGCTAATCAGTGATTGACAAATGGTTTTGATAGCGATATACGGATCGCTATCGATAGCAAACTGCAACGGCTTTACTGACGTCTGATCTCCTGTCCAGACCTTAAGCCATTGATTAGCGGTTTGTTTGTGTTTTAGTGGTTTCAACGATACGACACAACCAAACTCTTCGCACGTATATTGCAGTATAAAGCGAGCCATCCATAGCTGATCGCCGATGGCTGTGCCCGGAGTCGGGCCCAACTCGAAGCTCCACATCCCAGGCATGTCCTCCGCTTGGGAGGCGCTCAGTGTTAGCCCGGCGTACAGACAGGCCCTGTATGTCAAATGATATATCAATGGTTGGTTACAATTAATTCAATGCTCACCTGTAAAAGGCTTCGTCAATATCACGACCGTTGGCCACATTAGCGCCGACGCCGTAATTGTATGTCCTGTCGGTGTCGTCGAAGTCACCAAATGGCCAACCATTCGGTTTCCCTGTCTTCCGGTTTAGCAGTATATATGACTTAAGAAATGACAACTTTATAAATATTGTTATAGTTTATTTGTGAGATAAGCAGTGCTAGAGTGCACAGGTGTGGCCGAGGATTGAATATTGTAATATCAATCATAATGTTTATCGTTTATTGCCTAACAAACAGTTACCTGTCTTATTGTGAGCATTGGTTTTTGGGAATTGTTTAATTGATTTTCAATCGCTTTTGTGCTTACGGACATTTACCTACGATTCTCTGTCGTTTACTAAACAATTATAAATTGTTAAAGAAATATTAATACTATTGATTAGTTAATATACCAACCGACACTAACATACGTTTGATTTGATTTTCATACCTTCAATTTGGTATTTAATGGGAACACAAAACACGAGTTTGTGATTGTGTTGTCTGAAGGGGTCGTTACACAGGAGTACAGGTTTTAGCCAACAGTCCGAGTTTGCCGTCAGTTTCATGTGTCCTATCATTTTGTTTTATACATTAAATTAAATTTAACAATAGATTCATTTGTTAGGAAATAAGTGATGTAATCAATACAATATGTATGATTGAAAACTGACCGCAAGTTTGTCCACAATAAGCACAATTAGGCACTTCATCGACAGTTTTGGGCTCAGTATATGAGCGCATACTTTTTGTCCGTATATCGTGACCTAGATCAATTAATTAGACTATAAACATTTATGCACCAATTTATATCCATACATACCATTGCCGTCCAGCCATATATATCTCAACAAAATGCTTGTATCACTTGGTTTGGGCAATAAGTGATATCTGAGGGCAACATCGGAGTGATTAGTATTCATGTTTTATTTGTCGCACACTTTTATGCTGTAATAATCCAAATCGGGATTAATTCATGTGATAAACAAAACAAATGACAAATTACTTGAGAAACTTTGTGTTTAGTTTGATGTCAAACACAATAAATATCTATCAATATATTAAAAGTCAATGTATGTCTTATTTTGCTCAATACAAATGTTTATGAACTCTCGCTTTTGAAGTACAATAAACTTTATATTAAGTATTAAATTGTTAATCAAACAAATGTCTAATTTTAAGTCTCTCTTTCACTATTAAATCAATGGATATTACAGACACTTGTATTATATAATAGTATTACATAAATATTTAGATGTTTATATCGAAAGCTATATACGGTATATATAACTGACAATAAATTATTTATTCGTATATTTATTATGGTTTAGATCAAAAACAATAGGAGTTAATTCATACTTTCAAATATTTCCTATTTTACAATAAAATATTTGGGAAAATACAATAAAATTTTAAAATAAAATGAAAAATAGTATAAAACGTTGTATTTATAAACAAACTTCATAACTTTTCGCCAAACATTAATATTTACTCGAAAGTTAAATACTCGATAGACATTTCTTTTGATAATACTGTAGTATTATTAATACAAATATTAATTTTTATAAATTACTAAAATTAATAAAAGTAACAAAAATTATACACAATAGAAAGGGTAATTTTATTTGCAAGTTGATTAAAAATTATAATTTTATTATCTATATTTTAATTGTTAATTTTTAGTAATGACAATTTTTTTTAAATATAGTGTTAGTGTGTATCAAACATGCTACTTTTAAGGTTTTGCTTTCGAGCAAGTGTACTTGGGAGAAACTAATGTCGAGTAAATGTACAATGATCAACGATCAAGTGCTTTTTGACCATTTCATAAACACATTTTGAGTATATTCTGTATAAATGAGGACTCGATAGGAAGGTATCATTTTTATCATATCTACCCAACGCTTCACTCTATGTGCGAATCTTGTATTTAATATCAGTTTTATTTTAATGTAAACTTTATTTGATAGGAAAACAGTTTGATTAAGCATTTGATGTAAATATTTTTAATAGATTTATGAGTTATTAAAAAATTACTATAAAAACTCAATTAATTTCTAAAATCTTATATAAAACATGCATTTTTAGTGTATATATCTTATCATTAAATTTTTAATTATTTTTGTTTGAATAAACATAATTTTATTTAAAAATATATATTTATTAAATTAACTAGGTTATTAAAAATATGTTCTAGAAGTTAAAAATAGATTATTTGTATACAAAAATTTAATTTAATTAAGAAACAATATTTAACAGAATTTTAATATCTAAACTAAAATAATTATAAATATTTAAAAATTAACAAAATTTCTCTCATATAATATCTAATCAAAACGCAAATACATATCGATAAACAATTTAATCCAAGCAATAAATATCTGTCTTAAGCATACATTTCAGTACTGATGGTCTCTTAAAGGGTCCGATGTGTACAAGAAATGATAGGATCACATAACGTGGTAATAGGATAGGGCCTAAAGCAGTGGTATTAATACTACTTTTGATACATCAAAACATCGCCGACTCTTTCACAACAACCCTATTCAAGACGTTTAGTTACATGTTTATCGAGCCGTACATTATATTTATGTTATATTTTATATAAATAT